TGTTACGGAATGACTTCTATCTGGGCCTTCCAGAATGCAGGTGACAAACTAAGCTGGGCCGGAATGATATTCTTATACAATGGTGGACTTGGGTAGAAGCAGGAGGTCTTTGAATTCATTTTACATGACTCTCCACTGAGTAGATCACATGTGTCCCCTAGCTTGGGACATTTTCCTGCTCCAAGAGTGGCAGGTTTGAAGGAAGAGTAGTGAGCTTGTGAATAAATAATACACATTGAGGACATGAAAATAAACTTCTATAAAAGAGTGTGTGCATGCACATGTGGGAGAAAAAGGATACATTTGTCATATAGCTGTATAAATGTTTATCCCCAAATAAATGTTTTACTTTTTACTTTTACTGCTCCTCTTAGTGAAGAGGGAATATCAAGGAATATATTTTTCAGAGCAGTGACTTTGGATGGCATTTGTGAAACTCAATTTTGAAAACAAATTTCCTCTATTTATTTAGTGCTTGCTATGTGCCAGGCACTATTCTAAATGCTTTACATGGTGTCTCATCTAACTCCCACAATAACCCCATGAGATAGAGACTGTTTTATTCTAATTTTATAGCTAGGAAAAATGAGGAACAGAGTGGTTATGTAACTTGCTCAAGGTCACACAGGAGAGGAGGGAATTAAATCCAGGCTGCTCTGACTCCCAGAGCCCAAGTTTTCCACCATGATGCATGGAAAGATAGGCACAAAGCTAGCATTAAATAAATACCTGCTTTCATGGCAAATAGTGGCAGTAAATAATGAGACAGGAGGAGGATTACAACGATAAGGTATAATTAAATTAAAACTTCATGATGTTAGGCTACCTGTATGCCATTTGCTGTTGTTCATTCTATAATAGATAAAAATAATAATAATAAAAAAAAGTGTAGCCTGTTTAGGTGTTCTATTGAGAAGTCAAACTGAAAGAAATTTGTGTGAAGAAAATCTTTATTGTCATTAAGGGAAAACTTTAGAAAAGCCAACCATAAATTGAACAGGAAACTATTTTAACATGTTGTAAAACTTATGTCTGAAAGAAGCATTTATTCCCTATATGGGTCTGGTAGTTATTCTCACCATTGACAGTATGTTGGTAGAATTTATATCTCATAGAATATGTCAGTGTAATTCTGAGCCATTTGTTTAAAAACAGTTCTCCATTTCACTGCCTTTAGTTCCACAAAGAATAAACTCTTGATTTCATTACAATTAGGGCTATTTGAAATTTTCAATTTCTTTTACTTGTATCATTAATATTTGTTATTGGTCTCCCAGAGGGTCCAACAAAATAGGTTTCTGTAATGTCACATGAAATTTTATTCTGATCAGGCTCAATTGTTCAATCAAGGATTGAATTATGATATTTTATAATAAAATTGCATTTCTAAAGAAGACAGTGTCATAAAAATAGAACTGATTAAATTAAAAGAGACTTTAGGGATAATAACCAAATGTAATGATATTAATTTTCATATGCCAAATGTACAGAAAAAACTGCATTAGTTAAGGAGGCGTAAACACAGACTTGGTTTTATATAGGACAGAATTTTACTTAAATGGAAAAGAAATTATTAGTTGAAAAAAATGGGTTACATAATAATGGGTATAATAGGATAACATTTTGGTTCATTATAAATGAATATTTGCAAATATTCATGCACATACCCTCTTATAGATATATATGCAAAAGGACCTGGGAATCTATGCATGAGAATGCTATAGCAGTGATCTCTGCATGGTATAAATGTGATGTTTTTACTTTATTCTTTGTTCTTGTTTGCCTATATTTTCAAATATTCTACAAAGTACATGCAATATTTAAAGGCTGATAAAAATAGAATGAAGCAGCCTTTGAGGATAGTGTTTCATGTTATCCATTTGATGGAAAGTGAGGCTGGATTCCTAAAAATGCAGCTTTTCTCCACCTATCAATCTTTGCTTCTTAAAAACATAAAACTCATCAGCAGAATGAAGGTGATTTATATATTTTGTTTTGCTCAGTCACAGTGATTTAAAAAGTATATATTTACTAGTCTTGAGTAGTGATTTTTTTTTTTTGAGACAGGGTCTCACTCTGTCATCTAGGCTGAAATGCAGTGGTGCAATCAGAGCTCATGGCAGCCTTGACCTCCTGGGCTCAAGTGATTCTCCTACTTCAGCTTCCCAAGTGCCCTACAGGCACATGCCCTACACCCAGCCAATCTTTAAATGTTTTGTAGATACAGGTTGTCATTATGTTGCCCAGGCTGGTCTTGAACTCCTGGGGCCAAGCAATCCTCCTGCCTCAGCCTCCTGAAATGCTGGGATTACAAGCAAGAGCCACTGCATGTGGCAGAAATTTTTATATTAAGTTAAAATATTTGAGCAAAGCATTAATGATACAACTTTAGTGTAATATTTCTCAATCATAGCATCTATAAACATTTGTTAATATAATTCAATTTCAAAGGATGAATCCAAATGGAAAACATTAAATGTGAAATTACATTATGCAGGTTTCTGGTTCTATTAATCAAAATAAATGTAGTCAGGAAAAACAAGATATGGAATGGTTATATAACTTTCCCAAGGCCACACAGTAGAGTAGAAAACATTTTATCTGAGGTTCGCCAAGGTTTCTATAAGTTATTTTCAGTAATTTTTAAAACCATAGGCTTTAAAGTCATTGTCTTAGTTTTGAATCCTGACATTTACCATATATGAACCAGGGCAAATTACCTAAACATCTGTTTCCTCATGTGTAACATGAGAATAATAATAGCTACCTTAATATTGGAGATGATGTTTAAAAGAAATAATGTATATGAGAACTATAGTTAGCACACTGTAAGCATGTGTCATAGATGAGGAAGCCATCTTGCTTTGTTTCAACAGGGACAGCAATATATAGCATTTCCAAACCACTGCTGACTATTGTCAAGGTCAACAACTATTATCAGTTCCATCAAAGACATTAAGAAAATTCCATGAACTGACTTGCAAGTATCATTCATGACTTCTAGAGTTTAAGACACCATTAACACTAACACATAGAAAATATACCAAAAGCAAAGACACATACCCCATAGAAAGCAATGTTTGTCTTTTTCATGCATTAGGAATATGGTAAATGAGAAAATCATGAGAATTCCACGTTTAAAGGGAGAAATTGTCTTCTTATAGGCCAAGGATGTCTTGGTAGAAAAACTGGGATTTCTTGAACTCACTGGAAACTGAGAAAGCTTCAATAAGACAATGGGTGGGAATAACTTCTTGGTGAGCTGGGCAGGGAATGGCAGAGAGGCAGTCTCCTGGATGTAATATGTAGGCCACACAGAGAAGGACCCCACACCCCCAGAAACTAGATGATAGAAATGAGAGTTGGAAGGAAAGGGAAGAGACGGAAGAGCCAGAAAAATTAGTGCGAAGAAAAATCATCAAGGTGAAGACTCCTGCATGTAGTCATGTTGGAGTTTCAGATTAGTTAAGAACAGAGACTCCCAGGCCAGTCTTCCTGGGTTCAGATTTCTATTGGGCCCTTATTACTTGCGTGACCTGGGTCAAGTTTCTTACCCTATTTTCCCCTCCATTTCCTCATCTGTATAACAGGAAACGATGGAGTTTTTATTAGAATCAATGAGTTAATATTTGTAGAGCTGTTAGTGTGTGCACAGAGTGAACACTTAAAATGTTGGTGAAATATAACATGCTGGTACTGTTCCTAGACCAAGCATGGAGATGGTCATGGTCTTGCTTTATCTTAGCCAAATTTAGTTTGAATGGAGATATTACAAATGCTTTAAAACCCTGTTATATACAGTATGTTACATGAATGGGTCCATGTGGGAAACAGAGGCTTGTAAAGAATGAGCAGTTATTAAAAATAAGAGGATGAATATGGATTAGCCCCTGCTTGTGAATAGCTCATTTTCTCAAATTCAGAATTACCCCACAAGAGAGAAGTGGAATGGAATGATCAATAAAAGCCAGTTGGGCTTAAAGCCACTTTAAAACTGATCATTTTTCCATTTCTTGCTTTTGAAAATCTGTGGCCGCCAGATCCTAAGAACAGAGGGAAAAGAATCCCCAACAACACGCATATTCTTCTTCTCTCACTGTCTTTCAGCTGGTTTATTCTACAACATCTCATCCCTGTTCTTTACATTCAGAATGAAGAACAAGGCAGTAAACACCTGAACTTCATACAGCATCGTTACTTGGGATTTTGGCATTCTCAGAGTGTGGCATTTCTAGTGTAAGCACCTATTTCCCCACAGTTTTCTATAATTGTGCTGAGAGGGAATGTTAGGGAATGTTAGGTAAGATAGAAATATTAATATATAATTTATCTCACATTTAGGATGGTAATCATACATCATTAATGCTCTGGAAGTTAAGTATTGTTACCTTTGTCTAACCAACAAAAAAAACATGCTACGTTGATGCAAGTTTCTCTGATAATCATTTTTCCCGGACTCCTAGAAAGCAGAAACAAAATTTCCCATTTGTTATTAGGAAACAGAATTCTTCCATTGTTAAAGGTAATTTAGAAGGGGAGAACACCATGAATCCTAGAGATCCCCCAGGGCTAAGTCCAGGTGGGGTAAGCAGGAAAACTGATAAGAAATGCAAATTTTCAGTTAGCCACCTCAGTTATGTGGCTACCCACTGCAGAAGATTCATACCAAGTTTTATGATTTAGCTACACCTGGTTAATATTAAGAATAGTTTAGGCTATTTATTTTAGGAAAAAAAACTTTCAAAAGAAAAAAATCAGACACAAACAAAGTCTAGTTTGACACCATTCCCAATTAATGCCCGCCAGGAAACAGTCACAAAATGAGTACCACTGTGTAATGATGTAAAACCACACCATGAGACATGCTTACTTCAGTGGGTTAGTTACACAAAAGGTGATGGGGTCCTTTTCCTACTTACACAAACACACTGCTGATGAGCTGAGGATAGAACAAAAGTCAGCTTTTAGCCCTCATCGGGACAATGCTTTTCTGTTCCTAGACAGCCTTTATAATACCCTGCAGCAACCAGGTCAGAAATAAACAGGGAAGCTGATGGCACTCACTTTATTTACTCCAGCGACCAAGGCTGGATCAAACCATCCATATGTCCACCAGGCAAAGGTTTGATGTGAGCTTGTTAAATTGGAGCCTCCTATGGAAGGAATGACAACAGAGCTGAGTGAATCAAAACTCTCTTCCCCACGAAGCGCCTCAATGGTTAAAGGTAAGAAAGGTTTGCACAAGGCCGGGCGCGGTGGCTCACAGCTATAATCCCAGCACTTTGGGAGGTCAAGGTAGGCAGATCACAAGATCAGGAGTTTGAGATCAGCCTACCCAACATGGTGAAACCCCATCTCTACGAAAAATATAAAAAATTAGCCAGGTGTGGGGGCATGCACCTGCGATCCCAGCTACTTGGGAGGCTGAGGCAGGAGAATTGCTTGAACCCAGGAAGCAGAGGTGAGCTGAGATGGCGCTACTGCACTCCAGCCTGGTTGACAGAGCACAAGACTCCATCTCGGGGGGAAAAAAAAAAAAAAAAGGTTTGCACAAGACCTTTCTACTTTGGAAAATTTGTGATTCTCCATGGAAACTTTCCAATGCAAAACATGCTGTATACAACTCTCAGTCTGAGAGCAGATCTGCACATCTCTGCCCCCACTTGTAAGGACACAAATGATGCATTCATTGTCATGGTTTTTACCCCAAACCATTATTTTCTTACTTTGTTTCTGAAAACTTTAGAATGACCTGGCAACACAAGCCAGCCTGCCTCCCAAGCTGAAGCTACTGGCTATTGGCATTGGCTTCCATTCTTACTCTATTTTTGTAGAGGTTGGGAAATTAAAAACCACATTTCTAGATTCCCTAGCAGCTAGGATTCTGGATGCAGTATATATTCTGTCAATGTGACACCTTGATACCCTCATATGAGTTCTGGCTGGCAAGATAGGTTGTTATGACCTTAGTAAATGGATTCCATATTCCAGTGTCCAGTCACCAGCTTCAAGAGTACAAGCCAGTTGAGGTTGAGAGGAGGGTAGGGTAGAGGAGGATAGGTTAGTAGCAGGTCCTGACCTCTGGGTTGTAGCAGTGGTGGTTTGACATTGAAATCAATAGTCCAGATAACTTCTGCTCTTCTAGTAATTTCAGTGATTTTATAAGCATCCAATTCTTTGCATTAAATCTTTCTGTTTAAAAAATCTAGGGTGCAGTGAACAGACAGATACATCTTTGCTAAGTGACAGCCAGATAAAGGCCTAACCCATACTTCTAACGTAATGGGAAGGCAAAACACTGAACACTAAGGAAATTCATTGGTCAACCTACAAGGCGAAAAGTTTGGAAAACAATTTAGAAGAGAAAGAGAAGAGGAGGAGGAACAGGATGAAGGAGAGGAGAAAACAAACCAAATGACTTGGTATCAAAGTTGATAATTTGCTTTGGTGCAAATCCTCAATTGTATCAATCCATGTTTTTAATCTGTCTATTCCCAAATATAATCCTGTCCGCATGTATCGAACTTCTTCATTGGATAAGGATAAATGAACCCAAGAAATATTATTAAATCAAATTCTCATCTATATGCAGTTTGCCAAATCATAGAAGACAGACTGTTTGTCATGCAACACAATCTAATACATGGATAATAAAACAGATTAATCCCCCAGAATCAATTTGCCACTTGTTTCTTAAACAGAAATAAGCCTGTACAACCTGCACTTCACAGAACTTTACAGTGTAAAAACTACATTCCCAAACCATATCTCTTTTCTTCAACACTCTTGCAAAATAGATGGGTAGGAACTATTATTACTCCAGTTTTTCAGCTGAAGAAGCTGACACTCAAGGAGACCCCATGTTACTAAGTTGCAGAGATATGAGTTAAACTTTTGTGCCCTCCCCAATCCTAGATCTTTTCCATTAACCCAAACTGCCTCCTGTCTTCTCTTGTTTGACTGCTGCACCAACCATGTCAGACAGGTAAAGCAAGAACCAGCCCCCCTCCCATTTTTTACATTGAATGTTATTAACACCACCAGAGAACAATAAACTCAATGTCACTGACCATGCCCTGTCTTGTGACTAACTATAGATGCTATTGGACTTCACAGATGCAAGTTAACAAGTAAAAAACATTTAGATAAAATGTTAAGAAAGGTGCACTGATGCAAAGCTAAAAAGGAAAGAGATGTTAATAAGGGTGTTGACCACTGGAGAATCATCAGGATGAGTTTATTCTTAGCAATGCTGAGCACTTTGGAAAGAGACACACAGTTGTGGCAAAAAGAAGGATTAAAAGAAAAAGGTCAGAAATATGATTTTTCAGAAAGGAAAAAACATGGAAATCAGAACTCTTACTGCAGATGCTGATTCTGGGCAAATGCTATGCTGCTGGAAACATGTGGAGCCCTACAACATGGTTTCATTTGATTCTCACCAGAAGATTTCAATTTCAGCTAAAATCCCTTTTAATCCATAGGCAGGGATTATAGCTAGGTCAAACATTCAGTTCTACTTATCTGTAAAGTCTTGGCTCAACAAAGAAAACAACATAAAGCCACTCTGCTTCAGTCAGGTATAACTGATAGAAACACTGGCAGAGGAGTGGCTGAACCAGGCCTGACAACAAGATAGGGAGTGAACTAAATGCTGCGGAATTTGAAAATGCAATGGTTGCTTTTCAGCAGTGGAAGAACAGCTTATTTTCCAGGTACTAGATATTTTTACTAGTAACACCAAAATACATAGTTGTCTGAAGTATAGTAGCATAGTTTACCTATTTCTCTTCTCTCCAATGCTATTGCTTCTTACAACCCTGGAAAAGGGCAAAGATGCAGTATTGCCTAAAAATACATGATGAGCTTCTGCACTTTATCCCTTGAATTCAAATGTATCCTTAGCCTGTAGGAAGTCTCTTAAAACATCATTTTTACAAGACAGAAGAGAAAGAAATACACCTACATGAACCAATAATATTAGTTTTTTATACACTCTCAACACTCGGAGAGTGTGGCTGTGTCCCCATCCAAAATCTCATTTTAAATTGCAATAAGCCCATGGCTCGAGGGTGGGACCAGGTGGAGATCATTGAACCATGGAGGCAGTTTCCCCCATATTGTTCTCATGATGATGAATGATTTCTCACCAGATCTGAAGGTTTTATATGGGGCTTCTCTTTTGGCTCCACTCTCATTCTCTCTCGTGCCACCATGTGAAGAAGGATGTATGTGCCTCCCTTTCCACCATGACTATAAATTTCCTGAGGCCTCCCAACCCATGCAAAACTGTGAGTCAATTAAATCTCTTTATCAATTACCCAGTCTTGGGTATGTCTATTAGTAGTGTGAGAATAGACTAATACAATGGATTCAAGACATAAATGTAAAACCCAAAACTATAAAAACTCTGGAAGTCAACCTAGGCTATATCATTCTGGATGGGCAGATTTCATGATAAAGATGCCAAAAGCAATCACAACAAAAGCAAAAATTGACAAATGGGATCTAATTAAACTTAAGAGCTTCTGTATAGCAAAAGAAACCATCAACAGAGTGAACAGACAACATAAGAATGGAACAAGATTTTTGCAAACTATGCATCTGAAAAAAGTCTAATATCTAGCGTCTATAAGGAACTAAATTTATACGAAAACAGATAGCCCCATTAAAAAATGTGGGCAAGAGACATGAACAGAGACTTTCCAAAAGAAGATATACGTGTGGGCAACAAACATATAAAAAAAACCCTCAGTATCACTGATCATTAGAGATATGCAAATCAAATCACAATGAGATACCATCTTATGCCGGTCAGAATGGCTATAACTAAAAAGTTAAAAAATAACAGATGCTGGTGAGATTGTGGAGAAAAAGGAACACTTAAACACTGTTGGTGGGAGTGTAAATTAGTTCAACCATTTAGGAAAGCAGTGTGTCAGTTTCTCAAAGAGCCAAAAATAGAACTACTATTTGACCCAGTAATCCCTTTACTGAATATATACCCAAAGGAACATAAATCATTCTACCACAAAGACACATGCATGTGAATGTTCATTGTTGTACTATTCACAATAGCAAAGACATGGAATCAACTGAAATGCTCATCAATGGTCATATGGATAAAGAAAATGTGGTAGGTATTCACTGTAGAATACTATGCAGTCATAAAAAAAGAATGAGATGTCTTCTATGGAAACAGAGGTGGAGCTGGAGGTCATCATCCTTAGCAAACTAATGTAGGAACTGAAACCAAATACCGTATGCTCTCAGTTATAAGTAGGAGCTAAATTCTGAGAAACAACAGGCACAGAGAGGGGAACAACAGACCCTGGGGCCTCCTTGAGAATAGAGGGTGGGAAGAAGGAGAGGATCAGAAAAAATAACTATTGGGTACTGGACTTAGTACCTGGGTGATGAAATAGTCTGTATAACAAACCCCTGTGACACAAATTTACCTATATAAAAAAACCAGCACATGTACCCCTGAACCTAAAATAAGAGTTAAAAGACATCTGTTCAAGCAACTAATATGAATTCTTTTTTTAAATTAAGGTTAACAGCTTGATACTGCCTTGGAAAATCATATGCAAAAAGGGGGTATACTTTGCTCAAATATTAGATTCCAGTATTAATCCAGGAACAAAAAGATAAGAATAAAGCCCTCTAGCTATTTATTTCCTCTCCAGTACCTGTTTCTAAGAGGTCCTCTGCCTTCAGCAAGCTTTCTGGCTATTGCTCTGGTGATGTGTGACACAGCTAGGAACAACATGGGTTGCAACCAGACATAAAGACACTTGGGTGCCTATAAATTTCTACCTTCCACATCCCTTGTAGCAGATTAAATAAAGTATATTTTGGATGGTCCATAGCTGCAGTTTGCACCATCAATTTTGATTTCCTCACACCAATATTCCTGGCCAATGTATCTCATTATTTTGACTTCTCTGCAGAAGATTCAGAATAAAGTCCATTGCCCAAAGTTACAATTCCATTTTGGTTTTAAATCTGTTACTGCAGGCAACATTCAAAGAGTACATTAATATCCTGAGATTGGGACACAATATGAATGTGTCCCAATGGTAATGAATAGTACTTAAATGTGGAGTTAAACACATTACATTAGAAACTTAGCAGAAAATAGGAACCACTCTAGATATTTCAAAAAGCAGATATTTAATAGAGAAATTGGTTACATAGGTGGTAGAAGTGCTTAAGAAACTAAGGTGAACAAGATGGTCACTCAAACATTAGTAACTGTGGGAAACCAATACCAACTTAAGCTGCCAGAGCAGAAGTGCTACCCTGAGGTCCTGGTGCCATGCTGCGAGCTTCCAGCTGCCTGCCACAGCCTGATTGTGTGAGCCATAGCACAGGAGGCTATTGCTGAAAGTTTAGGTGCCAAGACCCTTCCCCACCTCCATGGCTGACAATGCTGTTACCATTACTGCACTGTTGGAAATCCTCCAACAATGCAACAATGTCTCCTATTAGCAGAACCTAATGGAAAGCCAGCTGACAATAAGATGTGAGAAATGTAGTTTGAGAATGTTGGGACCTAGAAGAGCATAGAATGGTTGAGGGTAAATTAGCCAATAACACCACACAAAGTTTTTTTGTTTTGTTTTTTTTTTAAAGAGAAGAAAGATGCCTTAAAAATGAGGTGGGCATAAAAGCTGAGAACATTCTTAAAGTATTTAAAGCTAAAATGTACAGCCATTGTACATTTTTTATCATCTAATTGGCAACATCTCCTAACTATTGTACATATTAGAATGTACAATAGTCCCCCTTTATCCATGATTTTGTTTTCTGTGGTTTTAATTACTTGCAGCCAACTATGGTCCAAAAATATTCAACAGCAAATTGCAGAAATAAACAATTCACAATTTAAATGGCGCACCTTTCTGAGTAGCATTATAAAATCTCACACCTCAGGACATGAATCATCTCTTTATTTAATGTTGTAGATGCTCCCTACCCATTAGTTACTTAGCAGCCTTGTAGGTTATCAGATCAACTGCCACAGTATCATAATACTTGTGTTGAAAGAACTCTTATTTTCTTATTTAGGGCACCAAAGTACAAGGGTAGTGATGCTTACAATTTAAATATGCCCAAGAAAAGCCATGAAGTGCTTCATTTATGTGAAGAGGTGAAAGTTCTCCACTTAATAAGGAAAGAAAAATATCAGCTACTGAGGTTGCTAGGATCTACTGTTAGAACAAATCATCCATCCGTGAAATTGTAGGAAAAAAAAGAGAAGGTCAGGCTCGATGGTACATGCCTACAATCCCAGCACTTTGGGAGGCTGAGGCAGGCACATCACAAGGTCAGGAGATCGAGACCAGCCTGACCAACATGGTGAAACCCCATCTCTATTAACAAAAAATTAGCCAGGTGTGGTGGCATGTGCCTGTAATCCCAGCTACTTGGGAGGCTGAGGCAGGAGAATTGCTTGAACCTGGAAGGCGGAGTTTGCAGTAAGCTGCGGTCGTGCCACTGCACTCCAGCCTGGCAACAGAGCAAGACTCCATCTCGAGGGGGTGGGCTGGGGGAAAGAAAAGAAAAAGAGAGAAATCCAAGCACAGTTTATATTGAGTTTGGTACTATCTGAAGTTTCAGGCATCCACTGGGGGTCTTGGAAAGTAGAAGGGCATTACTGTGTTTTGGAACCACTGACTAGTCTCACTTATGTAACATGTCTTTTTTGTTTCAGTTTCTTAAATATTTTTTTTAAAGTTATGTATCAGTAATCATCCATCTCTGCATTTCTGCCTTTTACTATTCAAACTTCTAGGTAACCTAAAATTCTGAAAGTAAACAGCTGATAGCTCTATCTTGAGTTAATTATCTAGTCATAATTTTTGAGCTTATGAAATCACAAAGCATCACACTGTTTAAATACAACTTTGAAAATTAAATGTGCATGCATTGTTACATTTTTTAATTGTTTATTTATTTTGGAGTCCAGACTGGAGTGCAATGGTGTGATCTTGGCTCACTGCAACCTCTGCTTCCCAGGTTCAAGCAATTCTCCTGACACAACCTCCCAAGGAGCTGGGATTACAAGTGTGGACCACCATGTCCAGCTAATTTTTATATGTTTAGTAGAGATGGGGTTTCACCGTGTTGGCCAGGCTCATTTAACCTCCTCAGGTGATCCACCCACATCGGCCTCCCAAAGTGCTGGGATTACAGGTGTGAGCCACCACACCTAGCCAGGAATAACTATTAAACATAAAGAATTGAAAGTCTAGTCCTTCTTTTTATGATGAGTTTTAGACTCTGTTTTTTAGAAGTGTTTATCATACACACATTGTCCAAATTTTAAGATCAGAGACTTTTCAATTGATTGTAAATCAACTAATTTGCATGTTGTAGACCCGAGATAAGCATTTCACGACTCAATTAATATGCCTCATCACCAATTACTCATTAAAAGCAAATGCTAATTAATGTGCATTTTTAAAACCACAAGATCCATTTCTGGCAAACAGGGCTGCCTATACGTCAATGCTGATATTGGTGATGAAGTGAAAAGTTGCAATCTACACCTAATTTGTGCATCAAGATTAAATGAAACTATAAAGGAAAAACATTGAGGAGGCTCTGAGGCAAAATGACAGAGGCACAATAAGGAGGCCGGCTCATTGATCACGGCTAATAAGACAAGATGAAAGGAGCAGGATACACACCTCATTTCCTTTCCATTTAGCATGCATACACTACAGATGAGACGGTGGAAACACAGAACAGCATTTCTAAATAATTTGTGCTTTATAAATTAAATTAATAATATAGAAACAAAATTATAACAGAGGAATTAAAGAACTGAACAGTTAGGCCATTATGCCCCTTATGTCTGTTAATTAAAGCAGTGGAATGGCATTTACGGGTTGAGGAGTTAAGATGGTAGGGAAGGAAACAAACAATGGAGCTCATTCTATGGGAGGGAATTGGGCCAGGCACTCTGCATCGTGAGCTCACTGACTTACCCAGTAATCCTGAACAGAGTTAGTATCCCCATTTTACAGGTGAGGACAGAGTCTCAGAGAAGGCAAATTACTTGTCTACATGGTACTGATAAACAGTAAAATTGAGATTAGAACCTGGGCCTGTGTGTCTCAGGGCTCTTCCTAATAGTATACATATTACCTCTAGGTACTCCTAACAGCTATAGTTTATGGCAGGCAAGGATGTAGTATCCAAGGAGGGACTTGCAGAATCCTAATTCTGAGTGACCAGTGACAACAATAATCCCCATTTCTCATAAGGTAAGGACCAATACAATAAGTATTTTGGTAGCCTGCTTTGTTTGTACCACAAGCTGTGTTTGGTATCACAACTTGACCTGGTGGAAAGTTTCAGGGAGACAAACAAGTCTACCTATGGTCTGACGAATGCTGTTCCACCTCCATATTCCTTTCACTTCAATAACCACTTGTATAGACATAACACCAATTCCAGTCTCAGCTCTGTCTATGAAGTACTTCAGTGGGTGTACGAAAAAGGTGGAGCTGTTCATCCCTCCCCAATCTCCATCTCTATCTTTGGTTAGCTTCCCTATTCCTGAGAATGGTATTATCATTCCCAAAGCAAGCAAGCCAGCCTTAACATTCCCCTAAGCCCAGCTGAACTGTAGACACCTGTATCAGGCAATTCTTGCATTGCTATAAAGTATCTGAGCCTGAGTAGTTTATAAAGAAAAGAGGTTTAATTGGCTCACAGTTCTGCAGACTTTAGAGGTGCTGGCATCTGCTCTGCTTCTAGGGAAGCTTCTGAAACTTTACAATTATGGAGGAAGGTGAAGGGGGAGCAGGTACATCGCATGGCCGAAGTGGGAGCGAGTGATGGAAGTGGGACAGGGGAGAGGTATCACACACTTTTAAATGACCAGATCTCCTGAGAATTCAAAGTGAGCGCTTACTTATCACCTAGGGGAGGGCCCAAGCCATTCATGAGCGATCTGCCCCCATGATCCAAACACCTTTCACTAGGCCCCATCTCAAACATGGTGGGGGACAAATAGCCAAACTATATCAACAGGCTTCTTCCTGACCACCAGTTCCTAAACCTCCCTTTTCTTATAACATTTATTTTAGAAAACTTGCTATTGTAAATTCTTTTTGCTCCTTTAAAATGTAAATCTTCTATAACTCAGGAATGTCTTTCTTAAGGACTTGAAAACCTTCCCTTTGAAATATAATTAAGAAAGACAGCATCACTATCTGCCAGTCTCTGTAGAAGGAGGAGTATAGCTTCCCCAAGCAACAGTTAGCAAACACAGATGGACTAACCACATCAACTCACCTGCCCTCTTTCTGAAATGCTCTCTAGTACTTTCCCACTCTCTCCCCTTAGTGCTTACAAATTCTCCACCTTTTATTTCAACAGAGCTGAGTTCAATCTCTCTGCCCTGTTGAAGTAGTCTTGCCTGTTTAATTGGTCTAGTATGATTTTTATTTTATACAAGCAATCTCAGATAAAGAACCAGCCAACTTTCAAAGCACCATAAAATACATTTTTAAGACAAATTGCAACCTGGAAACATATTTGAAATACATATGACAGACACAGGGCTGTTTTTTCTGTATATATGCACAGGTATAGACTGATTTGTGTGACTTTTAAGTGAATATAATCAGCTTATTTACTCAAAGTAAGGGATGGATGCTTCTGACATCAGACATCAATATAAACATCTGTACTGTATCTCAGTTTGTGGATGACTTTTAATTTACCAGTGCTTTATTGATGGACATTTAAGTTGTTTACACTTTTCATAGTATGTAGTAAGCATCCTTTTAACTTAAATCTTCATTCACTTATTCAAATTATTTTCTCAGGATACATTCCTTGAAGTGAAAGAACTGCTATAAATTAAAGAGTATAAGCAGGTAATTCACAACAAGATCACATAAAGGATAAAAGAAATATCAATAAAATCAATTGAAAAGGTTTAATGGTTAATTAACATATGAAAAGGTTATCTATCTGGTAAATTAAAAAAAGCCAATTAAAATAATAAATACCAGTTCATCTTTAGGTATAGAACACCTATGTTTTTGTTTTTTGATCATTAGCATTTTTTAGCAATAAAATATAAAATGCCTTTAAAATGAGCATGCCCTTTGACCCAGAAACTCCACTTCTAGGAATGTATCCTAAGAAAATAATTTGAATAAGTGAACAAAGGTTTCAGTTTCAAGGATGCTTACTGCATACTACATGAAAAGTGTAAACAATTTAAATGTCCAGCAATAAAGCACTGGTTAAATAAAATTCATCCATAGACTGAGATACAGTACAGAGATTTTAAATGGTGTCTGATGTCGGAAGCATCCATCCCTTTCTTTGAGTAAATAAGCTGATCCCACTCATGTAAAAGTCACACAAACCAATCTATACTTGTGCATATAAACAGAGATTATTCTAAGGAAAGAATACCAAATGTTAGCAGTGGCTATTTCTAGGTGATTATTTTGGGAAAGATTTTATTTTCTTTTTTTTTTTTGAACTTGACCATATTATTTGAAAATTTTAGGTTGGATGAGGTGGTCCACCCCTGTAATTTCAGCATTTTGGGAAGCCAAGGTGGGCAGATCACCTAATCATCAAGACCAGCCTGGACAACACAGTGAAACCCCATCTCTACTAAAAAAATACAAAACTTAGCCAGACATGGTGGCACATGCCTGTAGTTGCAGCTACTTGGAAGGCCGAGACGGGAGAATTGCTTAAATGATGGAGGCAGAGGATGCAGTGAGTCAAGATCACACCACTGCACTTCAGCCTGAGTGACAGAGTGAGAAATCGTCTCAAAAAAAAAAAGGAAAGAAAATTTTAAACACTCAATATGTCATTTTTACCAAAGCAATAAAAATATTTTAAAAGTAGAATGTATGCTCTAAAATCATTTTTAATAAATACATTTAAGAATAGAAAAAGAAGAAAAAAGGATGTTTTCACTAAAATGTGGACAGTTGTTATGATATGTGCGGCAGGATTATTACCCATTTTTAACTTCTTCATACTTGTTCTGTATTGTTTGATTGTTTTTATGTATACTACTTTTAGAACCAAAAAAAGGTATTGCAGTAGAAGACAGAGAAAAACAAAACTCTTCATCACTTGCATCGTGGCACTCCTGCTTCCCCAATGTCACAGTCCTTTACAGATTAGATATGCTTAGTCAATTTATAATTGATTGGCTTGGCTTTACTGATTCCAGTTCCTTCAGTTGTCTTAACCTTGAACATGGCATCCAAGTTTACTTCCTAGCCTTGCCAGTGTATCACCCTGAAGACATTTTAAAAAGCAGTACTCTTGTGTTAGTGGTATCCCTTCTTTTCTGTCAACACCCTTTCAGATATTTCCATGAAAAAAAACTAGCCATTGCATGCCTATTATATCACTTTGAGAAGAAAAATCTAGATCTATAGTTTCAGTTCCACTTTCAGTTCTTTCAATTCTCTGGTCCTGGTCTCATATGGTTTTAGGAGAGGTCATGGGTTCCTTGCTCAGGACTCTGGTCCACCCACAAGCCTCCACTTCTGAGAATCCCTGTATGAAACAGTGAAGGGAAGAAGTTGAGGGTGGTTTATAGGAGCCACATCCATTCATTTCCACTCTGCTTTGTTGCTTTAGTGAAGGCTTTTCAGAGACAGAGAAAGAGAACGCTAAAAAGCTCACTCAGAACGGGGAAAGGACATTCATAGGGAAGTCATGAAGGCAAACACAGAGCACAGGCTGCCATTGTCTGCCTTTAGAAGTATAACCTCATTTCTTAAAGGGCACGATTTACAATTCCGGAGGTAGGAAGGGTCTTATAATGCTAAGGATGGCACTTTTGATACCAAGCTCCATAAGCAAAACAATTGTTTTTCTCTTCCTTTCCACCAGCTTCTCTCCCCCTAGTCTCTAGATTCCTGATAGGCTCAGGAAATTCTCTTCCTTAAGAGTTCTCAGGAAAACTCAGACGACCACAGATGTTTCTGAGAAGAAATGGCAAAGAAAATAATTACCATATATACCCATCCTGAGGGGGATTTCTTCTGGCACTCTTTCTAGAATATTTCAATTCAAATGAAGAATAAAAAAGTAAAAACAAAATGAGGAAGTGGTACGAGCTAAGGGAAACCACTGAAATGTGATAGAGCTGACCTCTTCATGGGTTATCAACCAAGAAAATCCAGGTGGACACCTCTGGTTATCAACAAGTGGTAATTCAAGGTGGAAAACTTCACTACCATTTCAGCATTTTTGGGGAAGACAGCTCAGAGGCACAAGTTGGAGAGAAAAGGTGTTTGAGGCCATTATCATGGCAAAAAGTGATAGAAAACACCCTGGAGAAATGTCCTTTGGTCTCAAACTGTTTTCTGCCTTGATTGAATCACACATGTATTAAGCAAGATAGGCTGAAAGAATTACTGTGGGGCTCTAAATGGATTAAGGCAAACCCTCTGACTAAGGGCTAAAAAGACACATTGAGATATATGCCACTATTAATTCATATGTAAGCAGCAACTGAGATTTTACTGTCTGCTCTGGCCTCACAGAGTTACTAAATGCAAGGGACTGATGTGGTTTGTGCTATTCCATTTTGAACTCTTTATGAGATTCTATTCTAATTTCCCACTTCTATGCCTATAAATTATTTATTTATTTGTAAGTGAATAAAGTACATTTAGAGATTGGTTCAGTATACTTAGATTGCCACACCTGTACTCAATATATGTATCTTGCTATCAAGAAAAGAAACAAGAGACAGCATGACATTTTCCACCAAGGCCCAGCAGCACAGTGTGGTAAGGCAGGTATTTTTGTCCTTCAGGAAAATAACAACAACAACATTCTCACAGTGAGTAGGAACTCTGTCTACATCCTAATGCATTGCTTTGTTAGAAATCCTTGCAAGATGCATCACTACCAAAACAAATGGACACAGATTCCTCACCACTGTCTCCAAAGAATTCTATCTTTCAGTTCGGATGTCTATTTCTTGGCATTTGTCCCTCAGGAGGAGATATCAAAACCCCACGTTGTAATTTTATCCTGCAGGAAATGAATCCTTTTGAAAGATAGGTAAAGGCATCATCTTAATTTTAATCCAAAAGGCACTTTGTGAAAGTAACTCTATCAGTATTGAAGCACACTCTGACCAGTGTACACTTACTTTCAGACTGCACTAGCACACACTTCAGCATATCTTCTTGAATGGGTTTTACAATTCTGTCATTAAATTGTTACAGATTAAAGTAATCAAGTAAACATTTTTTTCCAGGGCCTAAACATTATAAAATCATTTCTTCCCATTCTTTAAAGACAATCAAAGCAATTCATTTTCATTTCTACCAAAGCAATTCATGGAGTTCTGTGTCCTGTTATCTCTATCACTGAGAGACTGTTCATAATAGAAATATCTATAAAAACAACCACACTAAGTAATTTTTACATTGAAATTGAGCACTGTGTAGTTTTCATATAGTATAGTAATGGTTTTCAAAAAGAGGTTCCAAAATACTCATGAAGAGGAACAGGGAATTAGCTGAATGCTGTGGATTGACAGGCTATCAACAAAATAACACATATTTTTCATGAAAATGGCTAAATCACTATTTACTTGATGAACTGCAATGTAATGGCTCTGAAGGAGCCATTTTGCTGCATTGGCTAAATAATGTGTGTTTACCAAAACTGGGTAATTACAGAGTCTTCATATAACACATTGTCTGTGCCTGCCAATGAAGGAGATAAACCTGCTAGAGTAAGACCTTAATATTTGGCTACAGTTATTTCTAACTCTGGCACTACAGACAGGAATGAATAAACTAGACACTGAAGAAAGTAAAAGAAGGATAGGAATTTCCATGTATTTTTAATTATTCAAAATTCCTTAGGTGAAGACAAAAATGTTTACCAGTTAAATCTGTGATTCCAATTAACTATTGTTATTAATGATAACAGAAGTTATATCCATGACTTGAGGGGGACAATGTAACATCAAAATATAACAATCTGGTTAAAAATGATATTTTTTTCATTAAACAATGGGGAAGTCTAGAGGCAAACCATATTTTAACATACACAGTAAAAGATGAATTTCTTACACAGGGGTAGAGAAAGCAAATTTTAAAAAAAGGAAATTGCCAATATTTAATTATTTTTGACCCACCCACAAAATCACAATTTTTTAATAGACTTAACATAGTACGTGTGTCCTGAACATTAACTTTGTTAATGGATTGATCCATAGATATAAAATTGACTGATCCATAGATATAAAATATATGTAGTACATTTTAAAATAATTTTGATTAAAAAATAAGCCAAAAAACCCAAATGTTTCAGAGAGAACAGGAAATATCTAAATGTCCAAGATACAAACCTTGGTAAAATTTCTTTTTAGGAAACACAGAAGTCAAAAAGGTAAGAACTCTAGCCTAGGGTTCCCAGAAAAAAGGGCGGTCACTGATGCTAAATACTACTGAGATCTGAAACAAACAAACAAACAAAAAACAATACAATGCTAAGAAAATACCAGTGGATTTGAAAATTTAAATAATATTGGTAGCATTGATTTATAAAGAAACTGCCTGCTTTTTTGACTTGTATCACCAATTACATGGAAAATATCTTACAGGTAAAAAACTTCTCTGGTAATTGAATCATTCACCTAGTTCAATAGTTTGCATCCATAAATGTTTTGCTTGATCACTTAGAAAAAGTACTATTTTTTTAAATTCAGTATTTAGAAAGTGAGTTCATTTAATTTCAATCTTCTTCTTTTTTAATTGTATTTTGGGCTCTGGGGTACAAGTGAAAAAGAAAAAGAAAAAGAAAGTGAATCCAGAGACCCTGGGGACAGACACTTAAAAAATTTACAGCAGACTAAAGTAACTTGTTACTGAAAGTTTCAGAGAAAAAGTCTTGTTTCTTCCTAGTGTTTACTCTAAAAACATAACCAAGTCCCCACATTCTGCATGCAATCTGAGTCTCAAGCTGAATGCAATTTTATATTCAATTATATAGTAAGCTAGAAAAAGAATTGTATAAATGGACAAAAGGTATCAGAGAGTTGCAGTTAATACTCAAATGCAAAATAACTACAGATTCCAATACTGTCCCTTATGTGACACTGTTTTCACATCTGTTTCTGAAAATTATCTGCAAGTTAAGAATTATTTATTAACATGAGTTAATCAGAGCAAGCATATTGTTTTGTGACTGATAATTAAGACAGAATTCCAGGTGATAAAATCTAAAAAACAAAACGTTTTTAACACTAAAGGTGCTAAGACCTAGATGTGATAAGTGCCAAATAAAACTATAAAATCTACAAAATAGTTTTGATGAAGAATCTCCCTGCTTAGAGAGTTTGTAGCTACAGAAAGAACACGTACGCTGGTGTCTTAGACTCTGCCACTCCATATTTACAATTTGATAAACATGGTGGCTGCAGCTTGGGAATCATGGTTAAGAATTACTGGAAAAGAACAACGCTAGGTTGAAGGAATGTGTTCTGTAACAACACAGCTCCGCATGATCTTCTAGTGGCCACATCTTCAGTGATTATGTTTTTAT